GATTCCTGTCAGGGTGGGGAATACAACACAACACAGGGCCACCGCGCTGCTGCGCTCCGCCGCGCCGCGGACCTCAGCCGGTGGGTAGGCAACTCCTCCGACGCTACCGCTCCGCGGTTCGACGAGCAGGTGGGCGCCGCGGGCTGCACGCCGCGGAACGCGGGCCTCCGCCGGCCCCCGCCGGCCCCCGCCGGCCCCCGCCGGTCACGTCATGACTTCGTGACCTCCCCCCGGGTACGTCTCTGCCGTGGCGTTTCACCCCCTGCGAAAACTCACCCTCTACCCTATTTACCCACCACTCTCCATCAGGGGTGGAATTTTCGAAAAGTTGAAACCAGACAAAATCGTTGCGGCAGTAGGGAGCACTCATGTCAGCACTCCTGAAACATCGAACACCTCTTCAAAAAAAGTCAACTCTTTCGATGGTTGGGGAGTTCGGAACGCACGAAATCCTTACAGCCGTTTAGTCTAGAGCATACTCATCACGGACCCGTTGGAACCTTTTGGTGGGGGTAGTCACCCCCTCTGCACTTACGCTCTTCAGAGGGTGGTGCTGGCCACGGTTGAGAAGATAGTGTGGATAGGCCATAGGCCCTTCAGTTGTTGGTCCCGACCATGAAGTATTGCTGACTGCTTGGAGCAATACCTCATGGCCCCGACTAGGCCGTTAATTAATCCCCCAACATGTCGAGATTCTGGAACCACGAGAAGACACCTCGTGCCCCCACCGTCTCTCCCTCTACCGTGGTGCTGGCAAAGTCGCCCGGGGCGCGGACAGTGCAGGACCCCTCGTCAAAATTTGAACGCGATATGACGTCTCGTTCTTCCGCCGCAGCCAAAAATGTAGAGTTGGTCCTGACCGGTGCGCTCAGCGTTTCTGTTCAGAATGAACACAATAACATAAACAGTTTTGTAGTTTGTAGATTTGCCTACGCACAGGGATTTTGTAGGTCAAATTGCCTACCTCTACCTATCTAGTTGCCTACCTATCTAGTTGACCACAGTGGGAGGGGGAGGGGGTCGCAGTCCGCGAGACACCCCGTGGACCCGCGAGGCGACCTACCCTCGGCGTGGCAGGATCCGCGGACGCGAGGTACCCTCGTGGCAGGTGGCAGGATCCGTTCGACCGCGAGCTAACCCCGCGGACCCGCGAATCACCCCCGTGGACCAACGAGTTACCCCTGCGGACTCGCGGTAACCCGTGCGAAACAGCGAACAACCCTTGATGATGTCAGCAGGGGTAGCGCTCCGCAAGAGGTTGCCTTGCCTGCCGGCCGCTCACTCTCAAAAAGTATTTGCGCTCTAACGGATCGTCTGCAACCCCTACTGTCCTACACTCTTCTAGGTCTAAGCACCCATTAGGGTAAGATGCCCTATGATGGCCACCTTAAGAATGGGCCTGCCCAATGATGGCCACCCCTTTTTCTTGTAATGTAGACAGCGATGTGAAGTAGTTTGGCTGATTATGCCCAAGTAGGGACCTTACTAGAACACAACTTCAAGGCCAAGATTGTAAAGTGACCAGATTGGCTGGAAATCGAGAAAAGTGGCCATCAATGGACAGTGGCCACATTAGGGCACCTTACCCTACCATTACACTCCCGAAGTATGTTTAAGACACTCTGTAAGTGACCGACGGCCTGGTGCACTGGAGCCGCACGGGTGCAGGCTAGGGATGTACGCATCGGTAATGTTACCCGTACATTACGGTAAAATACCGGTAATTTACGGTAAATTACACAAGCCCCGGTAAAATTGGTATTGTTGGTAATTTTCAAAAACAACTTCGATAAGCAAAGTTACCGCAAAAACGCAGATGAATCTGTGTATATTCCACGTACACTGTTGAGTAGTGACCTCTACGATCACGATACCCTAAATAGTCCAAGTGTCTACACTCTCAGACCTGTACTGATAATTTTGTCAGTCAAAAACGAAAGAATTTTCAGCAGTAGGAGTTACTGATCAATTTGTCAATTTCGCCGCACCGTTTCGTTCAATATGTATACTCCTAATATGCCAATTTTTTAGTTTGTAAAAATAAATTATGACGTGTATGTGATAACGTTTTTTCTGACATTATTCATGCAACGCCGAAACCTAACATAATTACTGACAAGGTGCGGCAAAAAACCAGTACCTGGGTATGACTTCCTTTCAGTATAGGACCGAGTGGCATCAGATAGGGAAGTCAAGACTCAAAATTTTGGGCGACACATGCTGAGTGTGTGTTAAGTACCCGAAGTATGCATCTGAAGTACACCTGGAGTCCCCCGAGTACGCCTGGAGTACAGAGTACGCACCCCAAATAAAGGCAATCAGGGACTCCACACACCAGGACGTTTGGATAACTTTTAAAAGCAGAAGCGTGGGATAAAAACGTCAAAAATCAACGTATCTCCTATGCTGAATTGCTAACATTTCGTTATAACGCACCAGAAAACGTCATATTTTCAATGAAAACATTGAATTTGGTAATAAAACACCAAAAAACGAATTTTACCAATTTTACCGTATTTTACCGTAATTTACGGTATTTTACGTAAATTACCGCCGAATTTTAATTTTACCGTAAAAATACATCCCTAGTGCAGGCGGGGTGGGCATCGCCAGCGCCAGGCACGACGACAGCGATACAGCCGGTCCAACTAGAATCAGTGGCAATCTCTTATAATCGAATTTTGGAACAGCGAATAATATTTCGCCTGTGAGTCTTGTTTCTTGTTGTCATGAGTCCTTTAAAAGAAAAGATTGCTCGCAACAGTCTATTTCCTATTTCAGGGCGGTTAGATCGGTTAGATGGGAAAGGGTGGGGGGTTGGTGGCTGGGTGGCTGGGTGGCTGGACACCTAGGGCACTGTCCGATTGTCGAATGAGGTGCCTTGGATACCAATGCAGTGTGATATTTTTGAATGTTAAACGCGTAAAGGGTGGAAAGTAAGTCCTCCTGATTTCGACCGTACCCGCAAAACCACATACTAACAGCTGAAGCCAAACCTGAGGAGTCCGCTACCTAAACTCCTAAAAATATTTTCAGAGGTATTGCTTAATAACACTTCGCGCCGACCGCCCTACGCTCCACCCAGCCCAGCCCCGGCCCCACCCCCTTCAAATTTGAGAGTTTTTTGCGGGAACCCATTCCCGTCTTTCCTTCCTTCGTGACAACGCTACTCTTGGAGGAGACAGACGAAAAAGACATCAGAATGTCAGAGGAGATGAGAGCCCCTTTCTCCTCTTACCCTTCTCTCCTTCTCTTACCGCGTGCCCCAACCCCAAACCCCTCTTCTCTTCTCTTCCCCTCCCCGTCCCCTACCATTCACTGCGTCCTCTAGAGTCCACTAGCCCCCCCCCCCCTCCCCCTCTTCCTTCGGCGACAGTCGCCCTGGCCGAACCGCCCCCTGTGTCCGCCCGCCCGCCTGCCGCCCGCCCAGCACAGCCCCAGCCACCAGCCAGCCAGCCCGCCGCCCGCCCGCCTTCGCCTCATTCTGCCGGTGTCGGCCTGAGACAACGCACTGCCCGTGTCGCTTCTCCAGACAAGTTCCCGCCCTTCGACGGTCAACACTTCTTAGGACACCGCTCCTTGCAGTTTTCGAAGCATTGACAGAGGTAAATAGTGTTACATTTGTGCCCTGTCGGTCCCCCGTGGCTCTAGGTTGTGGGATATAGGCTGGGGACTTCGTCTTGTCGGTAAATTTTGCGAGTGTGGTTTTTGGCGGACTTCGAAGGTAGGGATGCTCTGCCCTTTGAAACGAGTTTCAGCTTCAGCCATCCAGAAATTTTGAAGGGCTTTTAGTTTGGAGCTGTTCGTAAACAATCAGTGCACCATCCTCGTATGTTATAATAGTTGTAAACAAAATATCGGAAAAATAGTCTGCTCTGCTGTGGCAAAGTGTCGATATGAATCGTGTTCCCCTGGCGATTTCCTTTTCGGAGTGTCCTTCCATGTTTGGTGATCCTTCCCATCTTCATTGTGAAAGCTAAATTTCCTGTTTTTGTGTGTTTAACTTTATATTGTAGCTTATTGACACCTGTTGCCGTTAGGACTAGGACGCTCTGAGATTTTTACCCGCCATTTTCACAAGTCCTTATACGGCTTGGTACTTGAAGTTAGAACGATCGCCTGTGTTTATTTAACGGCGCTAAAATTAACAT